CCCCCCCCCCCAGGGGTTAGGATTTTTGACCCCCTGGTGGGTGGGATTTGGCACCCCAGCGTTGGGGTTTTGCACCTTAGGGGTTGGGGGTTTTGCAACCCAAGGGTTGAGGGGTTTTGCCCCCCCTGCCCCAAGGGGTGCTGGGGTTTGGCACCCCGGCTCAGTCACCCCCCTAACGCCAACGGGTACCCCCACATTTGAGGCAGGGGTTTAACTTTGCCTTGAGTTTTAATGCTGTGCTCAGGCTTCAGTCTCTCCTCGGAGAGGTGGTTGCAATAGACTTGCTTTTGCTGCGGAAGAGCGTGCAGTTCTGCTGGGGGCACATCTCAAAGGGCTGTGCTGGCTCATAGGTGCAGGTTCGTCATCCTGCACTGGGACAGAAACCATCAGCCTCGCACAGCCGGACTGGGAGCAGCTCCATGGGATGGGATCTGGGAGCCCTGCGAGCTGGCCTCAGCCCCTTGGACCCTGCTGCTGGGAAAAGCACCGTGCAGCCAGCGCAGCCGTACTGCCGAGCGGCTCCAAGCCGGCTGGCTGCGTTCAACGGTCAGTTTTGAAGGTAAGGATCTCGCCTTGGCCTCTGCTGGGTTTCCAGACCTGGGGCTGGTTAGCTGTTGGAAAGGTTGTAGGAGTTGTTCTGCGCTGATTTGGGGGCGGAAAGAAACTGTGCCCTGAGAAATGCTGCCCTTCAAATGGGAAAGTTGGCTGGAGGAAGAGAGAGAGAGAGAAGGAAAGTCAGTGCAAAGGCTTTCTTGCTGCGTGGCCTCCATGAATTCATGTTTTACAGGTGGAAGCATCCCCAGGGATGTTCCTCCTCTTTATCACCGCACAGCAGCCTTGCAGAGCAGTGCACTGTTTGACAAATTACTGAGCTGCTGCCATCTCGGCTCGCAGCAGAGAGGAGGAGGGAAATGTGTTTTGAGGTCCTGGGGCAGGTACGGTTGCATGCTGCCGTATGCTGATTCGTACTTGGTTTAGTAGAGGAGCAGAGTCTGGCAGCAAATATATTTCCAATTTTCGTAATTCCTCTCAGATTTTAAAGTGCAGTCAGCCTTGAGATTGCAGAGCTTTTTTTTTCCTCCCCTGTCATCAAAAGATACCATTTAATGATGAAATTAACCTTTTACTTGGGATCTGTCTGCTGAATAAATTAGGTCAAACTTTCTGTATATTAAAGGAAAACTACTGAAATGATGGGATTGCCTCTCAGGTAGACTGAGAGCAGAACCTAGCCCATCAGTTTTTGAAGGGAAGCAAAACTGTGATGTTCAAATGAGAACAATACAAACCCTAAGGCATCTGAGATCCCCAGGGAATCTGGTATGATCCCACACCATGGTACAAATGGGCATTTATCCCATTGATTTAAGAAGGCTCCTTACAGGAAAGGCTGAAAGACTGATGTTAAAGAAAGACACCGTGCTGTATCAGCAGCGTAACCACACGAGCTGCTGCAGCTCACAGGAAAACTTAAAAGCTCCAATATTTAAGTTGTGGAAGTGCATCCCTGGGAAGGACGGCACATCCTGCTTTGTCCCAAAGATTTCCACAGAGATTGTATCACCCCCTGCTTTCCTGTATTAACAATTCTCCAGATGGTTCAGGAGTAGCACCTCTTCACTTAGATAAGTTGCTGGCTGCCCAGTGACATGCAGAAGGATGACAGACATCTACCTTGGGTGCTTGGCTGTGACACAGACTGCGGATGAGCTGCCAGGGACTCTCTGCCTGGGGATCCTTGAAAAGGAGCCAGGAGCAGCAGGACCCCATTATCTGCACCCTGAATTAGAGTTCAGGGCTCAAACCTGAAGTTTCAAGCATCCATCATCCCTTCTTTTTGTTGCCGGAGGAATCACGGATGTCAAATGAGCGGAGTCTCATTTCCAGCCCCTCAGCCTGTCTTTGTGTTGACCAAAAACCAGTATGACCAAGAGAGGGTTTCTCTAATGTTTCGTGAGCGTGGACACATTTGATGCCTGTATTTGTGCGTCGTTGTGTCATGTCCTAGATGTATCCTGCATTAAGCAACCTGCCGTTACTTTTTCACTTGGTAAGAACTTTTAACCCAGGCTGGTGGCTGAGGTGGTACTTGAGTAGCCTAGAGAGCTTGCAAAGATGAACTCTAATAGCTGTGTCCTAGTTCTACCTAAAGTTTGAGTGCAGTTTGTGTTCAGAGATCAGTACCAGAGCCACACTGTGTAAGTAATGATATGCTTTAATCACAGTTGTACTAACACCGATACATACTTAACAACTGTGTGAGCACAGTCATTGTTTGCAGAAGGAAGATGTGACTGCTAAATCTTCTTGTTTCAGTGTTACATCTAAAAAAACCAAGGAACGAATCCAGCATTCTCATCTATGATTATTCAAGGCCATAGACCAAAAATTTAACATTGATTTTTTTGAACCTTAAGACCTGATTTTTTTAAACTTTAAAATTCGACATTGTTTTTTTAAACCATTGATTTTTCATTAACCTGTTTTTTGCTGTTCATGTCTTGGGAGCCTATCTTAATGCTGCACGCTCTTCTGGGAGAACATAGGGCTAACTGGGTGGTGTTCATGTGCTTAAACTGGTTAGGGGTCAACTCGAGCTGGAAATCAGAGGCAGTTTCCATACCTTGGAGAGGCTCCAGAGGTGTGAGGACACCGGCATCTCCCAGCAAGTATGGGAGATGGTAGATGTCCAGATGAGCTGGAGGATGGACGCGGACCATGTAATGGACCTTGCAGTGGCAGGTTCTGCAACTCGGCTGGCTGCGCGGCCAGGCGTTGTCACCACCTGGTTTTGCCAGCCAGCAGTCACTGTGCCATCTGTGCGGACCACGTCGGGAGGAGAACGGGCTGAACAATTTTTCTGCCAGAAAGTGTGGTTGCATTGAAATCAAATTGTTCTGCAGGAGTTCTTCCAGTTTGATGACATCCTTGGCGGGGTTGTTAGAAAGAATAGCGTAGATTATCCTCTTTCTTGTCAATGACGTGAGAGCTGGAAACAGGACTTTTTATTTTATTCTTATGGGCTGGCATCAGGATGTGAAATGTTGTCCAAGGAACATTTTCATTAAGACTGATGTACTTAAGACACCCTGTAGACTTTTAGCTGCACCTGCTCAGGGGCTTGCCACAGAGCTTGATGTCCAAGAAACCTGCTTGTTTTCAGTGCTGGAGGAGCAGGAGAGCTTTAGATCTCAGTCAGAAAGTCCCAACTCCGGTGAGGAGGGGCAAAGGAAGAGCTTTCCTTCTTAATTTTTTCTAGACAGCTTTAGTTATTTCTTGATTTTTATTTTTTAACGTGTAAGAAAGGAAAACACTGAATCCAGCAAGTAAATAGAAGTCAAGGGAGGGAGCTGAGGATTTTGAAGGGTGAGTGGGTGCATGTAATACATGATTACATCCAAGGAAAAGGTCAGTATTGCTTTTACAAAAGGCAGCCCAGCCTCACAATCATACAGGAGTGCTTGAAAGAAGTCAGCAAGTATGGGGATAAGAAGCACCTAGCTGGTGTAGTCTGCCTGCATTTCTGAAAGGTTTTCAATATGGTCCCTCACAGTGTGGGCTTTTAGGGAAACTTAAAAGTCCTGAGTTAAGAAGGAAGTTCCTTGTGTGAATAAATACTTGTCTAAAAGGTGAAATGCAGGGGGGAAGTGGATGGTGTTACCATGTGGAAGAGAGGTCAGCAATGCTCTTTCCAGGGACGGGGGCTGGGATATGTGGGGTTCAATACATCTCTAGCTGGAAAAGCTGTGAATCGTGAAGTGGTGATATTTGCAAGTGAAACAAAGTTTAATCAGGGCATGAAGGATAAGGCCTGACTTAAAGAATTGCAGAGAAGCTTTCATGAGGCTCGGTGAGCATCAAAATGGAAGAATAAATTCGACTGTGAAGTGATGGAGTTTGGGGAAGATGGAGAGAACCTAATTTCCTCATTTCATCCTATTTTCCTATCTAAAGCAGCGGGCTCTGAGCTGACTGTTACTGCTGTGGAACGAGCTCTTTGCATGGCGATAGGCAGTCCTGCGGAAAGGTCAGCTCAGTGCTAAGTGCCAATCAAAAGCAGCAAACCACATTAGGGATTGTCATGAGAGGGAAGCAGGACAAGAGAACATCATTATGCCCTTACATAAATCCACAGTGCATTTTCCTCTCGGAAATTGCAGTTTCGGTCCATCTCAGAGGCTCAGAAGAGCACGAGGGATGGTCAGGAGTCCTCAATTGCTTCTGTACAAGGAATGAGCAAGGCTCCTCAGCCTGCTCAAGAGACAACGAGGGGGCTGGGGATGTGACAGAGATTAAAGAGCCCACCAGTGGCATTGATAGAGTGGATGGGGATTGCTTGTGTGATGTCTTTTCCAATACAAGGACCAGAGGCCATCAAATGAAACTAGCTGGTGACAGGCTCAAAACAAGCAAAAAGAAGTGTTTCTTTATGCACGGCGCATAGCTGAGCTGTGGAAGTTGTTGCTATGGGAGGTCATGGCTGCTAAAACTTTGTGTGGGCCAAAGGGGAAGCAGGACAACTTCATGATATAGAAGTTCTTGAAACCATCTGCAGAAGTAACTCTGGATCATGGGCTGCTGGAAGGAAAAACAGGCACTGGGGAAATTTTGATACATTGCTGTGTTGTTCTTTTAATCTTCCTAAGGCAAGGTTTGGCCACCGTGAGATAAGGCATGTTGGACTATATGGATGTTTATCCTGACCCATTCTCATGCTGCACTCGGTAGTGATGCCCTGGAGATGTGGGATTTACCTGAGGGTACTGTGGAAGCAGAGCCCAGTCACAGCAGCAGTGGTGGTATTCAAATATAACAATTTGATGTCTGGAAATATTTCTATAATTTTCTTTTCCCCACAGGTTTTGTCTCTGTGTTCCCATCAGCCACATCAATGCATTTTGAACTGCCGGAATTTTTGCAGCACATCATTCCCACCTTCCCAGGTACCCGTGACACCGCTCAGTCAGAGTCTGGGAACTGAGCTGTGGACACGAGCACATGAATTTCCTTGACTTGAAGTGCCCAATTGTGGAGTTGGGAGCATCCTCTCCCAGCTGGGCACAGAAGGGGACATAAATCCGAGGTCACTGCTGCACCTGAGACACCTCAATTACTTGCTTACTTGCTCCTTGTGTGGTTGCTGGCAGCTCTGTGTGGCCATTCAGACTGTAGGATGGAGCTGCCCACCATGGGAGTAAAAAGCTCTTAACTTCAGAGCCTAAAAAAGTACCAGGGCAGAGCATGTACTGAATAGTGGGGTTATGGAAGCAGCCAGCCTGGGCAAGCAGCCTCATCTGGTCTGTGGGTGGCAAAGGTGATAATGAGAATATAGAATCATAGAACAGTTTATGTTGGAAGGGACCTTAAAGATCATCTGGCTCCAGCCCCCATATTTTGTGAACAGGGCACGCTGTTCAGTGGGGTTTAGCAGAGCTGCTTTAATTTTGGATTTCAGTCGCTTGCTTGTCCTCTCTCTGCTCTCAGTGCTTTTGTCTTTTTTCTGTATCAAGCTTCACCTGATGATGCATTTTCGTTCACAGGAGTGCTTCTCATTGCCATGAAGGACTTCAGCCAGTACCGCATATTTATCCTCACCCTCAGGATTTCAGACACTTCTAACAGACTGATAACCATGGGACAGTGATGGCACAGACACAGCAGGGTGTGTGGATTTTTCTTGCAGTAAAAGAAGGATAAACATTATTTCTGTAATTCCTTTCATAGACCTACAAGTCATGTGCATTAAAGTCCTTCTTTATTTTTTTTCCCCTTTCCTCTTTTTCAGATTTTAATGGTGGGAAGATGCTGATGGACAAAAATGAATCTTGGTTCTCTAATTTCTCCTCTGCTGCCTCCTCCTTTGTGAAAGGAGGTGGCAGCTGGGCAGGGATCGGCCTCCACGAGGTGGTGGTTGGGCTGATACTAACCCTCATTGACTTGGTCACGCTCCTGGGAAATACAATAGTCTTCATCTGCCCGGTGGTGGAAAAGAGGCTGCGCACCGTCACCTATATGTTTATCATGTCCTTAGCCATGGCAGACTTCCTCGTAGCCTGCCTGGTCATGCCCTTCAGGTAAGAAGTGCTTGTAAGGTAAGGTCAGGCAGCGGTGTGAGCGTGCAACGTCATTTCTCCCAGCTCAGCAGCTGCTCTTTGAGCAGGGCTGGCTAGAAGTTCACGTGCTGTGCTTAGGGCTGGGCTTTCCAAAGAGCTTAACCGTGGGTCGGTCATTAGATGTGCTTCCGTGCCTCAGTTTCCCTACCCTTTATAATGGGTCCGCTTATAATGAATGGAGAGAGACTTCCCAAGGGTATTTTTCCTGTTGGCTGCATAGGGACCCTGGCTGCTGGTCTGAACGAGCTATCCAGCATCTCGGGTGGCTCCGGTGCGATGAGTCCCCTCTTCCAGGACTAGTTCTGCGTTGCACGCAGGGCCAGCGTGGTTGCTAGATGATTTTGCACGCTCTGAGTGTTTGGGGAATGTGAGATGAAGACTGTCGCTGGTGTGTCAGCGTTAAGTGCAATGACTGAGCTGGTCCTGCTAACTTTTCAAAGGTAGAGCAAATCACGGAGTATATTTTTCCCCCATTTTTCTTAGTCAAGAATGACTATTAAGATCAGTGGATTTAAATTCTGTGCTTTTGATTTTACACTTCTTCAACCTTATCTTTTATTTTCCGGTAGTGGGAGAGAAAAGTAAAATAGTTCCTTACTAGCATAAGAAAATGGATGATTTCATATTGCTGAACTTGACAGGCAGAGATGTTATTCTTCATATTCTTGGTGAAACAGAATTTTGATTGCTTCTGCTGGTTCAGACAACATACCAGTGGAGTTCATGGGGAAAGCTAGTGACCTTGCAAAATAAATCTTTTGCCTGCATAAACAGACTAGAAGAACCGCAGTCTGCAGTGGGATAACAAATGGGATTCGCTGCCTTTGGGGAATTGTTTTGCCCCCATTACCTGACTGCATTGCACATGGATAACTGGCAGTGTTGACATGGGGACAAAGGCCATTTCCCCTCTCTCTGTGTAAATGTAAGGGTTTTATTTTAGTATAAGTAGGGTAATTTAGGATCCCCCTATATTTAATGGAGGAAGAGGCGCTTCAGAGGGCAGTTGTCCCTGCATGAGGTTTATATTTACAGGAGCTTCACTACCTGGCTAAAACATAGTAAAACAAACCCAGAAACCAGTTTACTTGTAGGTTCTGTCTGTATTGTGCTGCAAAAGGGCCAGAGGTTTGTGTAAAATGGGGGGCTGCACCCTATTTAGCGTTCCTGGAGCAATATTAAGCAGCTGAACTCTTGTCACATTCTGTGCTTCAGTTCTCACGGGGCTGCCTACGCTTTTGAATTTGGCACCGAAAGATATTTTTCCAGCAAGCACTTACAAACTGAGTTATAAGTTTATAGTGTCAGGTTTAAAAAAAGCAGTTAATGATGCCCTTTAAGAAATATTACTGCCAGTGTCAATTCTAAGCTCGGTGAATTTTTAAGTTCAGGTTCTGAAATCATCCATCTGTATTCACCTGTATTCTCTCCCCTCCACCTGGTGCTACAAATACCTGCCCGAAGGGCTTGGATTGCAGCTTAGTTGAGGACGATCTAACCTCTCCTACCCTTTTAAAGCCGGTGGGAATGAGGGTAGTGACTTAACCAGGAGATTTGTATCGCTGGCAGCGGGGGTTTTGCTCTAGGTTGGAGAAAGACGGGATTGTGGAAGTGGCTCTTTGCCAGACAGGGGTGGAAAGGGTCTCCAGGTCGGCTGATCTTGTTCCCTGAGGATCACCAGTGGGTGTTTGGGTGAGGACCTGGCTGACGTGGCTGCAGCAGTCTGGCTATCCGCTTCCTTCCCCATTGCCAGCTACCAGGCTAAACTGGGCTGGAGCTGGGCTGCAACTGGTGATGGTGGAGTCTGCAGGGCCTGAGCTGGGCTTGCCTGCAAAACAACGTGGTTCCCCCTGCCCTACCCAGAGGGGATACGAAAACGATCCGTGTGCTCCTGTCAACAGCAGCACCCACTAATTTTTCCCAAGAGAATCTCTGATGTTTCCCAGTGCATGGATGAGCTCACTGCAATAAAATGCGGCAGACAATTTCAGCCTCCTAGAAAGAGAAAAAGAGTGTGTCGGTCACCAAAGATTAGCTAAAGCAACAATCTTTCTGCTACCTGGCATTTCCCTGGGCTATTTTTTTTTCTTTCCATGTTCTTGTTAAGCCCAGAAATGAAAGGTTTTCATCCCAGTCCAACCCGGGTGTCTCAAGGGCTCCTCTCTGGGAATGCACAGCATCACCTGCTCTTCCACCCATTCCAACCATCCCTCCAGGAGATCACCTTCTTCATTACCCCAATCAAACCCAGGAACGGCAGCACCCCATTTGCTCAAAGAAGACAAAAGCTGAACAATTTCTGCTTTGGAGTGAGTTCCAGCTGATAATCTCTACCACTGCTTCCTCTCTGATTTTGTCTGTTGTCTACTTGATGACTCCTCTGGTGTCTCCACGTTCTGCTCGTGCTTGGCAATATCTGTCCTCGATTTCTTTTCTTCTAAATGGAGTTTGGGCATTTCTAGTTACCCAGCATCCTCGTTACTTCTGCCTCCCACCTACTGACGTGGTATTTGCAATCTGGGCAATGGGAGGGAGAGGTAGCAAAAAGTGAAGGCAGGTGGGTGTCTCGGCAGCTGTAATTTCCCCCGTAAGACTGGTAGCGTCCCTCAAAACTGGAGTAAGACATCTTCCTTGGCAAGGGGAAAAAGGGAATTTGGCACTAGGTTTTGCTCAGTTAGGAACGCAAAGGGGAAGGAAATTGGTCAATTCCTACTCTAGGCTCCCAGGAAGGTATGGAAGAAATGAGAAGAAGCTGATGAAAATATGTTTCATTGGGAAATCTGTCTGTGGCTTCTCATGCCCAACAAGAAAGGAGAAGAAGGGCACAACAAGGATGAGGAGGGGACCACAGCTGTAAAGAATGTGAGGGGAAAGATCATAGAATCATAGAGTAGTTTGGGTTGGAGGGGAACGTTAAAGGTCATCTAGTTCAACCCCCCTGCCATGAGCAGGGTCATCTTTCACTAGATCAGGTTGCTCAGAGCCCCGTCCAACCTGACCTGGAAAGTTTCCAGGGATGGGGCATCAACCACCTCTCTGGGCAACCTGTGCCAGGATTTCACCACCTTTATCATAAAACATTTCTTCCTTATGTCTAGTCTGAATCTACCCTCTTTTTAGTTTAAAACCATTACGTCTTGTCTTATCAAAGGATGGTAGAGGGCGGGAAGTCCTTCCATGAAAACCAATGGATTCTCTATGCAGCCAGAGAGAAAACAGCCCACCTAGGAGAGTGATGTCTTATTTCACAAAAACAAACAAAAAAAAAAGACGAAGGTGACCAAAGAGCAGAGCACGACTGATGCTTTGTGCCCCTCCTGAATGTCCTGGTGTTGCCTGGTGTGAAGACTGGCCAGCTCTTGGTGGGCCACGTGGTGAGGAACGGACCCTGCCAGCTCCATTGGGCGTTGTTTGGCCCTGCTGATGGAGTGACTGTTGTTTCACATCTTTCCCACTGGTTTGACTTCTTGCCTACGTTGCTCTTTTGAATTGCAGTTTGCTCCTCAGTTGGCAAGTTAGCACATGCCAAAGAGAAGGAAAAGAAATTACCTTAGGAGCCAGTTTGGCTCAGGAAAATGTGATAGAAAGGAAAGACAAGGTTGTTGCCTGGTCCCTTAATTTCATAAGAGTAAGACTTCTGTTTCGTTCCTGGTTTGGTTTGTTTGCAGGAGCAGTTCAGCTGTGCTTAGCTTGTCGCCTGGGTACTCCAGCCAACCCAGTCATTTCCAGGCTGAATATTTCCAGCTACTCTTTTCTTTTGCAAGCATAAGTAAGACACAGAGGTGACTTCGCTTCTGCTCATACTGTGCGTTTCTTTGGGCTTTTATTATTCCTTTTGAACTAGCATCATTTCCAAGCTGCAGAGACCTTTTACATCAGAGGAGAGGGAACAGGTACCCACTACCCTGCACTGTGAGAACATCTGCTAGGTCAGGTGCATCCCACCAGACACGTGCTGAGGAGACCTGGGTACCCTCTCCGCTGGGATCCGTGTGCGGGGATGTTCATGACAGCAGCACGGTCTGCTTCTGGAAGGCCATGGTGCTCACCCCACAGGCTTTGCAGCATCTCTGGGGGTAAGGAAGGCTCCTGAGGAGTGGCAACAAGGCACCCAAGTCCGTTACCGGACCCGTGCTTCAACTTCTACATGTCTTGTTTCCCCATCTGAGAAAGAGCCCTGAAACCTGTCCATGGGTGCGCAGTGGGACCCTCCATGCTGCCCGTGTGGAGGCCACCACGGTTTAGGGACAGGTTCTGCTGTAGATTAAGGTTTGCTTGAATTTTTGCGTAGCATCCCGCATAACAAAAAGCTGCCGAGGGCTGGGGCCCTTCAGCAGCACCGTACCCACCTACAGCAGCTGTCATGCTCTATAACAACCTTCACAAGTCCTTTTAATGAATTGTTGCTAATTAGATGCAGAGCAGGCGTTGGTTCCTGACTCCTCTGACATCAGGTTGACTCTTTTTGCCGTTGCCAGACGGCAGAGCCCACCTGAGCGCACTGCAGTCCAGCAGCCCTATTTTCACTGTATTTGACCAGCAACCTGTGAGGCTACAGGATAATTAAAGCTTTGCAGGACTAGGTAGTTACTCAGCCTTTCGCATCAAATTCCCACACAGTGGTTATTTCAGCAGCACCCCAGGAGTCGCAGAAAGCTATTGAAAGAAAGGGGAAGCGCACGGCATCTAATTGAATGCTATAGAAACAAGCATCAGCCTTCCTACAGCTGCCATATGTTCCTTCCTTTGCTGCTCACTTCTTACAGGCCCCTCTTGACTTTGTTAGAAATAATTTTGGCATAATGTCCGCTTTTTGCTGGTGTGTTTACCTCGCTGAGGCATTTGTGAGCTACATAACGTACTAAGCCGTATAGGCTTCCTCCTAGGATTTTTATTTTTTTTTAACCAAGAGTTGAAATCCTCTAGTTTTGAAGCATGAGACCCGGTGAAAAGTGAGTTTCTTGGAGGAGGGAGCCTCTTCCATGCCACAGGAATTGGGGGAAAGATCATAAAAGTTTGTGCTGCATGGACCACTGGAAAAATCTGTGATAAACAAAGCTATGCAGATGTAAATTTGGGGAGCTTTGCGGGGCAAAGCACCTCTATCGAGGCACCTGCTTATAACAGAGTGCAGGCAAGAAGCACAGGTTTGGTCTTCTTCAGCCATGTCCCACCTGGGGGTTATTGCCGTGGGTTGCACTTTGAGGATGAAACCCTGCGGTCTAACTGAGCCGTACGCCCATCTTTAGTCCCTCCGTGTTAAAACGTGGTGCTACCTCAGCGGAGTCTTGAAGAAATGCATAAAATCGGCCCTTCTAGCTTTGATCTCTCCCTGTTTTCTCTCGCAGTATCATTTACGAGGTGACGGGGATGTGGTTGTTCGGGAAGCTGTTCTGCAAAGTCTGGATCTCTTTTGACGTCATGTTTTGCACCGCATCCATTGTCACGTTGTGTTTCATTAGCCTGGACAGATACTGCTCCGTGGTGACCCCGTACCACTATTCAAGAAGGATGTCCCGTGGCAGGTGAGTGGAGTTGCTCCTCACTTTGGGTCGCTCCAAATTTTTCCTTGGCCGTGGTCTATATTGTCTCGGGACCAAACGAGCTATTGACAGTTGCTGCCCAAAAGCAGAGTGAGGTGGCAAAAGGATCTTCGAACCATTTAAAACTTTGCAGACAATTTTTAATGTGGTGCAGGAGAAAAGGAGAATGCAGCTGAGCTGGTTTGATGGTGCTCCTGGGAAAGCACTTTTTGAGCTAAGGATAGATCAAAATGGGGTAGAAGCCAGTGATGTGGGCTGACTTGTACCTACAACTTCTGCCCTTTGCAGGAATTTCATGGGAATTTTCCAAAGGACTAGGGGAAAATGACACCCAGAAGAATGCATGTAGCGGTAGTCTTCCCCTTCTTAAATTTACAATGTTTTCCAAAGCGATATTCATGGGGGAAATGTGGAGAAAACGGGACGAGTTTCTAAGCCTCTGTCAAGGTTTCACGTGAAATGTCGAAATGAGGACTGCAGGGTGGGGAAAGTTGTCTGAGGGTGGGCAGAGAGGACGCTGCAGCTGCAGGGTGCTTTAGGAGGTGGTTTCAGGCTCTTTTGGGGATGTTTTTCCCACTGCAACCCTTGCCGTGTACGATTTGTGGAGGGCAGGCAGTCGCCGAACCGAGGAGGGAGCCCACCGTGCCGCAGAGCGAGCGCTGCAGTGGTACTGAGCATCGAGTGTCCACCGGCTCCAGCCCTATCGCTCCTCAGAGGGTAGCGGCCAGATATTAAACCTGAAACCAAACAGAAAAATCTACATGCTGTTGTTTTAAATGTTAATGAAAATCCTCTGTAAAGCCTTTCCTCCTCTTTTTTCAGTCCGCTCTGAGCATCCCTTACACCGACCCCAATTTTGTAAACCGCAGACCCAATTACCCAGTCGTTAGAGATACTCATGTATGGACTTAATTGTACCCCAGCTTTTTCCCTTCTCCAAGCCCTGTGGGACTGCTGAGCAGCGATATCCCACACGGGTTACCATGGGGATCGAATCGTACTGGATGTTCTCAACTCTAAACATTACTCAGACCCTCTCTCCCCTCCCCGTCTCTTTCCTTTCGCAGATGCATCGTGATGACCTGCACGGTCTGGCTGTATTCCTCCCTCATTTCCTTCCTTCCCGTCATGCAAGGCTGGAACGAGATCCCCGGGGTGGACTTTGATGCAGGCAGAGAATGCATCTTTGTCACCAACTGGATTTTTGCCATTGTGGCTTCTGCTCTGGCATTTTTTGTCCCCTTCATGGTCATGTGCAGCATGTATTTCTTCATCTACCGTGCTTCGCGGCTCAAGGCCACTCGTATCATGTCTCAGACCCTCGAGATTCACTACCACCCCAACAGCAAGCGGCAGAACCATCTGCAGCTGGAGAACAAGGCCACGCGGACCATTAGCATTATCATTTCGGTCTTTGTGCTGTGCTGGCTGCCCTACTTTGTCCTCAACGTCTGGCTCGCTGCCAGAGGCACCGACTCCACCAGCACGGTCTTGGTTGACACCTTCAAGATCATCACTTGGTTAGGGTATTGCAACTCCACCATCAACCCAATGCTCTACGCTTTCCTGAACCGGGACTTCCAACGGGCCCTGAAGAAGCTGCTCATTTGCAGGCACAGGTCTCAGGTGGACATTGGAGAAGACATGGTTTCCATAGCCACGTTTTCCAAGACTGCTCCAGACCTAGAATATAGCATTACGGTGCCAGTGCCTAATGGTGCCCTAAAGGGCAAACCCAAATAATCGGGATTCAGAATCAGTTGCTGGAGGTGGTGGTACAGAAAGTGCCAGAGCACATCCTAATGGAAAAATAATGGGTAGGAAAATAAGGGAAGGACGAGTTGGAATATTACAGCTGGGGGCATAGGACAAAGATACATTTCTTCTTCTTCCACAGTTTTACGGACAAGGAACTTTGATATTTTAGGGGCAATCTGTTATAACTAATGGAGCTAATTCCTTCCTGGGTAATTATTTTTTTAATGAGCATTTCCTAAGACAAAATCAACGTTCATGCTGGGGGGAAAAAAAAAAAAATCTGTGTGATAATGTGAACTTGTCTTTGTGTACATCCTGGTGATCCACAATGTAAGGTGGGACAGTATTTCTTTCTTATCAAGCCACTGTAGCTCTCATCTTGCAGCTTACATTACAAATTTGACCAGTTTTGGTAACTCCACGTGTGTCAATCTGTGTATGGGAGTTAGAAGGGATGTGGTCAAAGAGCAGAGGTCACTTCTTTGCAAAGGCACCACTGTGCAGTCTGGGCTGTTGCTTAGGGTTCAACTCACTTGCTTCTGAAATATCGAGAGGTTCAGAGCTTTCAGTGAACCATCTGTGAGTGTCCTTATTAATTCTGGAAGGGAATATCCTATGTGGCAGACCCCAGGAGACGAGCAAGGCTTGCTCTAACACTGAGAGCACCTAGTGCCCAGGGGGTTCAAAGGGGGCTACAGGTGACCGACACCAGCCAAAAGAGGGGCTGTGAAGAGGAATTATTACTTACTTGTGTGTTTTGTGCTGTGATGTCTATGCCTTGATGCTAGGAGCGTAGCTATAGAGTATTGCTGGACCACACAGCCATAAAAAAAAGATGATAAATGGGAATGATTATTTTTACCACTCCCAAGTGCTTGTCCGGACTTCAACCAGCATCAAAGAGCACCGGCTCCCCTCAGGAGGGCCATGGAGTAGCTCAGTGAAGGATTACCCTGAAAAGGCAGGACTGCTCCCAAACGTCTCTGCAGCATCATAACAGTGAGCAAAAGGAGGAGCTGAGCCCCCAGGACCACCGCTTTTCTGTAGCAGGGTCATGCGAGGGCTGGTGACCGCTCGGGCAACTGCCATCGCTTCCCCCGGCACGGTTCTGGTGGGGTCTCACGCTGGTTTACAGGGGACAGTCACTGCACTCAGAGCCTGCTCTTACATCAGTCTTCTATGGACATGACACACTTCAAGGATGGTTTCTAAAATAGCTTTTTCTGAGTGCTCAGTCACCTACTTGGGACAGGCAAGGCTTCTGCAGCCTGGGAAGTAGAGCAAACACAGCAGAAAGATATCCAGGCTAACATTTAATGCTAAAACTACTGGACTGAGGCACTCAGAAGGGTTAAGAATGTCACTTTGTTAATAAATAAAAAAAAAAAAAAAAGAGGAGTGTTAGTAAAAGTCCTGAGTCCTGCTCTTGCAGCTCAAAGGTAGCAGAGGATTGTCCTCAGAGGCATAGCAAAAAGCAATTAGCTACTACCTGGAGCAGCTCAGCTACTGAAGACACTGGTATAAGGGTCTGAAGTTCTTTCTCAGGAGCCTGGTAGAAGAAACAGCCCTGACCTGGGGTTGCAACACTGGTACTCCTGTCAAATGACTCTTCATGGAGGGGGTCAGGTCTCCCAGCTCCTATGACTCCAATAACACGGAAGCTGTAAGGAGAATAACTACACAATCCTGCCCTTACTGGGGGGGGAAGCATTTAGGTCCAGTGGGCACCGAGGTGGCCGGGGCAGGATTCTTGCTTCTGCCATCCAGTTCATTTTGATAAAACAGGACAAGGAACTGTGTTTCAGCCCTAAGAGCTATGGGAGAGGGAGCTGAGGGATAGACAACACCCTCTGCAAGAACAGGCTAGGACCGCAGTGCTGCGCGGTGCAGCAGAGCCCGAGACCAGCGCTCCCTTTTGCAGGGCTGTAAGCTGGCAGCTGTGCTAGCCTCCATGTTCAGGTGTTCCTCTGCAAAAAAAGTTGGCAGGAAGGTACACACTGATTTTTGTGGCCGCAGGAAGACCTGAGAAAGTCAGATAGTTGGTTTCTAGATGTTAAACTAACAGAAGGCAAATAAACTTGTCTATGAGCCATCAGATGTTCCTGCCACCAGGGCTGTCGGGTAAAGACTGGGATCTCACAGACAAGGTGGAAAGCTGATGCTGTCATCTGTACAGAGCGGAGAAAAGCCTGCCTTCACTGCTTTCCCTTCCAGGATGTGAGCATAGAGCAAATGCACATTAGACCAAAGGCCTTTGGTCTTTCAGTCATGTTTGACCATTTGGTCTGAGTTGACCGAAGAACATCCTCCAGCAGAAGGACAGGGATAGAACATGGAAGTGTAGTATAATTAAAACGTGACTTAAAGAAGGAAAACAACACAGGAGGTGCATCCCTCTAGTTAGCCTGGTTCTGAAGAGCTGGTAAAATAGTTCTGGAGCTGATGGGGGTGTTGAAGCCCAGGTGGATATTTCATAGCACGAAGAAGTGTCCTCTTTCCCACCAGTGGGGCAGAGCAAGTGGAGCTGCCAGAGGCAAGGAAATGAGTGCTTGAAGGCATGACCTGAGGTCAGAAGAAAACCTCTCTTGTTAAAGACTTTCTTAGTCAAACCCTGGAGCAAAAAGGAGCAAAGAAAGGTGCAACACACTCCAGCATCCAGTGTTAAGAGAAGCAAAGACTCACTGACACAGGCAGTTAAGAGCTGAGCGTGGTCATGTGGCTGGGCATGCACCACACAGGGTAGGATTCATAGATGCCTTTGAGGATAACCGTAACACCCCTGAATATGTAGACACACCTACTGTGAACACGTATGCCATTTTTGGTAATGAAATGCTGCAGGGCCCTTGGAATGGGCTGCTACTTACATCCAGCACAGATATAGAGCAAGTTAAAAATACCTTATTCTTAATTTCCTGTGCTCCACCTCTAATCACTGAACTGGCAGGGAAGCTAGAAAGGCTTCAAACGTGGCCATTTAACTGTGCATTTATAGCTGATGCTAACAGGGAAATCCAAGGCAAGAGTATGCACTTAACTGTCTTCTGGTTTAACCCAGCTAAACTCAATAAAGTTCTGTTTCTGACCAAATATTCACTGCAGCATTCTGGCTTCAACTGGACAAGCTGGTTATCTAGGAGAGTTATCCAAGAGCAGAAGGAAGACAATCTTTGTAATCTACTTTTGCTTTATCATAAGGCTGCAGAGTGTCAGCTGGTTTAGTTGCCAATCGTAGTGTCACACCACAGTGCAGTGATCCCCAGAAGGATCTGAATCCAGCATCTTTTCTAAAAACTGATTTCAGAGCCTACAGCTTCAGAAATTTAAGCCTGTAAAACAGGAAAATGCATTTATGCAAAAACAGTTCTAACAGTGTAAGAATTATCCCTTCAAGACTTCCCTCCCTGTTAACAGTTGAGATTGCCTCCATAATCCACTCAAGTTTAGAAGAGCAGAGTTCCCTTCTTTCTTCAGATAGTATCTCACTCACAAGCAGCATATGCATCTTTGCATCCCCACGTGCGCTGTGGCAAGTACGAGACAGGAAAGCAAAGCAAGTTCCAGAAACGCAGTGCCCGTCCTCCTGTTCCAACTGCACAAGGCTGCCATCTGCAGCATGCACTGATGCAGGCTTTGAACAGAAGCAACTACTATTTTTTTTTTAATAAATAAAAATGTTTATTAAATCATTTAGACTTGAAAGAAGTCACAATAATTAATGCACTCAACAATTATAGCAAGTGCATTCTGTACACCACCAACCCAAATGGATTGATTCTGTATTTTATAAATAAAAATTAACATATTTACAATGAGAAATAAAAGCATGGCATTAGGCAGTTAAATTAGCAGATTACACAAATGCCTACCAGTTGATTTTTTTAAAAAGTACAAATCTACAAGATTACATACGACACGTATGACTTCATTAGGTTTAAATTTTCAGAATCACAACATTTTCGTACATAATTTTTACTATGGCTCTTCCAACCACTGCCTATAAAACCCCCTTTTTTTAATGGCAAAAAGCTCCTTTTCTTTCTCTACAGGTTTATCTGTATAAAATGCATTCCCTAAGATCTACTATAGTGCAGAAGTATGAAACGATTTCCTCTAATGACTGGCTATGGAGAGTGACAGTATGTACAACTGTGGTAATTTTTTGCTTTAAAAATAGTGCAGATTCCCAGTTTACCCACCAGGGACAAAAATGGAGTCATAGTTCATTTCAAAATCATCTTAATTTCACCAAAGAGCAAGTGATCCAGATAGATACTCACTAGGCTTAGAGACTGTAATTTGCTCTACAAAAATACAGTATTTTAATTCTATTTACATGTTACAGATCTCTCACTTACCCAGCAAGCTGACATTTACAAGCTTCTAAAAAACCCAATAAACCCAAAAAAACGATAATGGAGCACAGCATTGGTAAGCACAGTAGCTGAACCCATCCACCTAGGAGAGCTAAGGTAAGAAAAATGGAATGTGAAAAGTGTGGTTACTGGCTTTCGTTGGCTGTCAAAGTAAATGAAAATCTGTCCAACACGTCTTATACATTAAACATGGCAAAAAAAGTTTTAAGTAAACTATTTCCAAGATAGACATTCTGCATCATAGGATCCTTCTGCTGTACAATCCCTGTAAAACATGCCGAGTGGAAGAAGTCATCCTGAGGATAGTTATTTGCTTGGTTGTCTGGAATGCTTATTTCCTGATAAACTCATTGTCCGTGACCTCTGCCTAAGCACTGGTTTTGGTGGGAGTTCCAAGTCTTCAAATACAGGATTTTCAATGATTGCTGCAGCCTCTGGTCTTTCAGTGGGACTTGGAGAAAGCATGTCCTTCACCATGGTGTACTAAAAGAAAACAAGTGTTACATGAACCAGTTCATAAATTCTCCCTTATTTAATGTTCTGACTTCAATTGTGGCTGTATGAACAAGTGGAAAATGACCCCGGCTGCTTTCTAAGTCATTTGGGTATTACTGCTTTGGCACAGTAGCTAGAATTGCATTAAATATTTGAAAATGTATCACTGTGCATCTGTTAGACTGTCTTTACTGTCAAGGACTCCAATCAATTTGGCAAGTCAAATCTGACTGAGGATTCAATAGAGTTATAAAACCTTTACATTATTTGCAATGAAAAAATTTTTAAAACATGTGAAGTAATTTATGAGTAATTTTTAGCTCCATGTTTAAGCTGCCATGTTTTAAGCCACGCAATAATTCTTCACAGTGAATTAGACCTTCTCCTTTAAATATACAGGTAGTATGAATATTTGTCTCAAATTTAATCAGAATTAGTGTCCTCCTCCAGCTGAGTACAGCACATCACATTCCCCCAGGCAGCCTACAGCTGTGAATCAAGAAAGGCTATTCTCCTTTAGCTGCTGGTCTGAAGCTACCATGAACACCTGAAAACAGCTTGCAGGTTTTGTACATCACCACCTCTTCATCTGCAACCGTACCACTTTAAAGATCTGACTAGTAAGAACACAGCACAGTTTGCTCATATGGTTTCCCACTTGAGAGATCCAGTTCCTGGAGTGAGATCCCATGGCCATACTGCTACCTGCAGTCTGGTCTCCCCTTTACCTGTCTAGAACTCTGCACTTTCTCTTTGTGAATATGGATTTGCTGCAAGAAATCACGTCAGAATGTATGTGAAATGAGTGACTGCAAGTGACAAAGGGAAGCCAGGTAACATTGTATAGTTACTGGAGGTGAACTGTGTGACAAAAAGTTATCATCATCCACATTATTGTAATGTTATAGCTTTGAAATGTAGAAAAGTACAGGAATAGAGAAATGCATCTTAATAACACAAAAGGTACTTTTTTTTTTTCTCCATTTTTACCTGCAAAGCAATTGGAAAGCAAAGAAAAAAAAAGCTACAATCATTAAAGAAAAAGCTACAATTAACAGCATCAGATATACTTACCTCTTGTGCATATTTCTGAGTGAACAATGGTGGAAACTTCAAATTTCTAACATCGCTTAAGGTCTGCAAAAATATTAAAAAACACATGTAACTTCTCCAAAATACCATTCTTTGGTAGTATTACTCTATTACTCTTCAAAAAATATGCAAACTATGCAAACAAATCAGCCTGATGGAAAAAAATACTTGGTTTAAAGTCTTGCTTTAGTGGTTAAAAATCACAACATACTTAAATGAGCAAGTTGCTGCTTTCCTAGGTATACAGACTGCAATAGGAGTCATGGTACAAGAATTCTGATCTCTGCAGTTTTAAGTCAGCCAGATACACAAACTTGTACTTTCTCACTTTGGCTCAACAAAGTCAACACATCTGTGTACCACCCATAATCCCCAAGATCATCTACACCAGTATTAAGACACATGAAATGACTGGCTCTGTCTTAACAGCATAAGCACTAGTCTTTATTTAACATCTATGGACTAAGGAGCCTATCTAATAGCAGTTCCGAAAGCAGCTCATGTTGTGTATTTCTGCGTCCTCACAAGGTAGCTGGTCTCCTTCAGTGTTTCTTCCATAACAAGCACATTGGCTCCATCTAGTGACAGTAATTTTCCCACGTTCAGGCACACAATTATTTGCAGCAGGCTACCTTAAGAATTTAAGTTCTGTAATTGCCAGCAATCCATGACCCATTTTAGCATGTTTTTAGCGCAATATTTAGCACTTAATTTCTTTTAGGAAGACACTCCTTTTGCAAAAGTATGAGCACAAAATATAAGAATTCTAAAATTAAAACAAGATTCAATTCACTATCACTCCACTGAAAGTATAAACTGACCAGTTAATAGTGATGGGCAATAGTGAAACTCCTGTTCAAGAGAGCTGAGTTTTATGACAATATAATGCTTCAAAAAAGTGTTCTCCGTCTCTTATCAATTCAGTCTCCATTTAGTGATCTGTTTTCAAACGTCTAATTTGGAAATAAATTGCACTGCCATAGACTGACTGCTAACAGCCTGACACAGAGGCAGGGCTCACACTCCTCATCCTCTGGGGGTTGTTCCAGCCCTTTGTCACAGAGTCCTAGAATTTGCTGGGTTACCTGGTCAGGCAGAGCATGTTTTGCTTCAGCAAGAAGTGCTAATGCTTGCTGTGCATGCTGATGCCTACAAAAACTTCAGTGTAACAACTTAGAAACAACTACTAAAGTAGGTAAACTCCAGAACTTGACAATAAAGAGGTGGGGCTTTCTTTTGATTTTATCAAAAAGAGTGGTATGAAAAATCACTGGAAGTTAGGGGACTCTTTTTACCCTCTTATGAAGTAAAGCATCAGAGTTAGATGCAATTTAGGATTCACTCTGATTACTTGCTTTGCTTCTACGCTTAGGACAGAAACTGGAAGGGCAAAGCTTATAATCAGTGCTGCAGGAAATCTCAAGAATCCAGGATAACTCTTTAGCGGCTATGTGTCTCAGTAAAACTGATTCTATTTAGGGAAACCAAAATTGGTTTCAGTGCAAGGGGTTCAAATTAAGCACTGTCATTCCTCCTCTAGACTACGCTCTTATGTACCATAAAAAGTCAGTGCATTTTAAGCAAGAGAATGCAATACCAGCATAGGTGAAACAATTGGTCAGGCGGCACTCATGGTGTGGTTCAAGTTGCTTCTTACATCTCTGCTAAAAGGAATCCATCTTCACATGAGAATTTAAACCCCCCAAACACATATAAATGATAAACACAAGCTATAATGACTCCTTTCCTGCATAGGCCACTGGTCACCATATACAAGAGGAAAAACCTTTCTGGCTGTAGTCCCTGTTCTCTATGAACTTGTTCCTCAGAAAGATGGATCTTACGTGCATTTTAACAGCAAGGAAGAGTTGTAACACACCATCAAACCTCCCAAATTCACATTTGATGCAATAAAGGTCATCAATTACTGGGAAAATTGTGCTTGAAGTCAAGTGAGACTCACAGCTAAGAATTACTATAGGAAAAGGAAAGCGATTTTTCACTAAATGCTTTGGGTAAAGAAGCACTGCAGATGCAAATGAAGGAAGAAATCATAAAAATGCACAGCATGGTTCCAATTTTTGAACAAAAAACAAGCTGGCAGGCTTAAAGTCACAAGCTATATTTGTTGCTTGAGTTCTTGGATATCCTAGTTCAATAGTTTCTCTTACTTGGCTTGACAACAGAGGAGCTTTGTAAAGAAATTAAGGCCTCAATTCAACTGCACACATTAGGAAGACTGCAATTTATTTTCAATGATTCAGGGGGTCTGTACAAGGCTGATAAAGAAGTTGTGCTCCTAATTGCAAGGCTTTTTCAAAACTGAAAAGAACCTCTTGCAAGTGTTTCACCAAGCGAATAGCTATTTTAAACAAATGATCAAACTGAGGATAATCCAATACCATACATACCCTGACTCTCTCCATCTGTGTGCTGAAAGGGTAAAGCAGCTCAAAGAGAATGAGTCCCAGAGAAAAGATATCCACTTTGTGTGAATAGGTGTTCCCACAGATCTGAAAATTCAAAATGAGGGTTAGGTCAATCAAGCTACTCACTGTATGTAATTATGTACAACGTAAACAATGCCCTTTCAAGTCAACATATGGAAGTGATTAGCCCTGTGCAGAGCTGAAAACTACAGGACAGGCACATTGGCAAACTTCATCAAATGAGCATGGCTGAGCAAGGTCCTGAACCTCAGCTCCTCTTTGCAGACCCAACTTCAAAGCAAAATGTTTCAACTTACTTAAACCTCATGCACAACAGCGTGTCCTTGCTCAATTAAATTGAATATTATACAGTTATCTTTCTACTACATTAAAAGCATGATAAATGAATGCATCTAAGTACAAATCATTAGCCACTTTTTTGCTACAATTATATATATATATATATATAAAATATATTAATTTTGGAATTCAATATAGCTCAAAACTCTACTTTGGTGATAAAGAATTTAAGTAATTTGATTGCAGCAATTTACTAGAAAGAGTGCCTGATCTTTGAGCTCCTGGGAGTTCAGGCATCTTCCAGACACTGCCAGATACAGCTGTAGAGCAGAGAGCACAAACCTGTTCTGGGCTCATGTAGAGTTTGGTCCCTACTTGTCCTGTGTGCCTGGCATAAGCTGGCATTGGGGTAAGTACCGATTCCTCCTCCTCATCTTGGTCCATAGCAGTTACCAGTCCAAAATCCCCAACCTTTACTATGTCATCCATTGTGAAAAATATATTGGAAGGCTAAGAAAACAAACAGGTGAAAAGAAAAAAAACCATATAAGTAATAAACAAGTCTCTGTGTTTCAGTAAACACAATACTTTGTTCTAACTCAGATAAACCACGCTGTCAAGGCTAAAAATGCTCATTAAACATAAGGTTAGCAGAACCAGCTAAGAATCTTAGCTCTTCAGGAAAAAGGAATTACTCTTGCATTAAACAGTCTCCCTTCCTGAAACACAAACTGCTCATTTCTTGTCATCCAGTAGAGGTTTACTAGCACTGCATAGGTCTGTTGAGTAACACGGACAAAAGTCAGCAGCTGTTGGGAACAGCACAGCTAAGTTATCCAATTCTCCATCACATGGCAAATTCACACCAGATGCTGGAATTCTGACTCCTAGTCTTTTTTATTCTAATCTCTGAGTACTAAACTCATTCACCATATTATTAACCAGCATGTAGCACATCATCTTAAGTTATAGACACATCAGAAGTCTGGGAACAAGATCTGCTTTTCAGTTGGTACTGTGCAGTTTAACTGTGGGAATAGCTGTTTGCATAACAGAATTACAAGTTTATTTTTGACAGAAGTTTAATTAAGAACTTTGCAATTCACAAGAGCAGCACCAGTGACCATTTGGCTTAACTCTCCTTTTGCTTGTTTGCCAAGTACCGCCATCCTTGGCTTAACCTACTGATAAAAGAGGCTGGAACTGAGACGCCCCCTCGCTAAAGGTACCTATCTCAGATGGTTTTTCAAGAGATTTGCATCTCTTGATAGAATACCTGGCTGATAGAATAGCACACACCAGACGAATGATTATTTCTTTGAAACATAGCCCAGTATAAACCAGACCAGTAGTATTGCTCCGCCTCAGTTACAAATACAGACAGACACACAGTTTTGGGAGAAGAACAGACTGATCCTGCAAGGGGGAAGAAGCAGCAGGATTATGTACGGGGAAAGGGCTGACGCATGGTAAAGAGGCAGGTGGTGCTGGGCAAGCTCCTCTCAGAGCTCCTGGACCTTCAAGGGTGGGAGAACATGGTCCATGCTTTGTTGATGTAAGTCCTGGAACAGGAGGAAGCAGACAGACAGAGGGCAATATTTTTCCACAAGATTAAAGGACTACAAAGCTGACCTATTTCAAAGTCCACCCGACTTCCTCATTTAAGGACAAACCCACTCTGTGCAAGAGAGAAATAAGACAGAAAAAAGGCTTCTTGTTTTTTTTTTAAGCAACAGACAGCTCTGAGATAAGCACTACAGAAACAGTTAGATATAACTTGTTAGTTCCACAGTGCCCACATCCTGCCTCTAAAACTGCCTTCTGAGCCAGGTCTTATCTCCCGCTATATTTTCCTGTAATGAACGTCACGCCCTTTGGAGTCACTGTTCAGTTAGTGCACAAAAACTACTACCCTGTAAACCGATGGCGTCTCCAGGCTCTCTCTGAAGCATTTATACGGCACCCACCCTCTGATTGCACACCCACGTTGTCAAAAATCTCTGCATCAGATTTTTAACGCTCAAGGCACAAACGTCTCCATTAGGGATTTGTATCCCATTGCCTTGATCTCCATTCCCCTCCTCCTCCAATAAACATACAAGAAGTCAACAAGATCTGTCTTGCTTTACAGAGCAAAACGCTTCTTAACAGCAAGTTTTATTTCTTGTACTTCTCTGGCTGAAAACAGGCTGTCTCTGAATGGGCTGGCGTATAGTTTCTACAAATTAAGGAGAATGGCCTCTCTGCTATCGGAAACTGTCAGCAAAAATAAGCCATCAAGTCCACATTCGGAAAGAGGAAGTCTAAGGCAGATGCACAGTTTTGATTTAAATCAGAAGAATATAACTACAACCACTCTCTAGTTTAGTTATCTTGCCACTTGCACAAAGAAATTTCTCTCCAGATTCTTCAATCAGAATAAGAATTCCCATTTTCTTCACAGATATGAACAAGCAACTCACATCTGGAAGACTACTGTTTAATTCAATTAATGCTGCGAAATGTATCTAAGACTGTTCTTGCAGTTCTGTGGAACTCATAATTTCTTTTAAGCTGTCAAGCATGACCGACAACTTATCCTGGGAATAACAGTAAATTCACTTCACAGACAGACTTCTGTTTCTGTACTTGATTTTCTCCAAAAGAATTTGAACTGTGACCTATTCACTTGCCTACCTAAATTCCTACCATCTTGTCATTATGGTATCTCTGATTAGTAGGAGCCTCATCAATGCATCTCAGTGTGCACTGTTGATGTAAAATATTTAAAAGATCTTCTTGAATCTTTTAATATGCATGCATACAAATTTATTTTCACATAGGTCAATGAGTTTTTGCTGGTGCCAATGGGAGCAAGAACTGGCCTCTGCTATCAGGTAGCTCTGCCTGTAGCAAAGAAAACATCTTTGCAGGTTATTTGCTTATTAGTGCTGGCACGAACTTAGAGTTGCATGACTAGTCTCTTGGACAAATTAAAAGATTAGGTGAGATATGTTCCTAGGAGCTTCTGAAAGTTACAGAAAAACATTAAATATATTGGCTGTTGTTTTGACCAGATTAACACGTAACAGACAAACAAACTTCCAGGATCCAAGAATAACATCTATACACGCATGGGAAATTTTCTGAAGCAGGAAGTTGTGCGTTCAGGGAGAGCCTTTCCAAGTTGTTTATACCAAGTAAACAAAATGAAATCTCTTGTTCAAATTGCTGCCAACATTGACTTCTAAGATGTTCCAACAAAACGCTACACAACCGCTGATTAAGACTAATACAGCTTTAAGGGAAGATCTACATAAGCTTTACTGAACAGTGATCTCAGTAAAGACTGTAGAGAGTTACAACTGACAGCATTGTTAAGAAAGGTTACTAATTAACATGTCTAGCAACATATTAGTGTAGGGATTTAATTACTTTTCTGGTCAGTTTCTCAAGCACTGAAGATTTTTCAGATAACTGGTTCAAGGTAATTGCTTAATGCTGATGGGAAAGAAAATACTTGGATGGGTTCATGAGTTTTTCCAACTTTGACATATCCCTTCAGTGTTACTGAATTTGACTCCCCTCTTACTGCCACATCTGAGATGGCATTTTCATCTTTTGTTTCTATTGATACCAAATGATTACCATCCAAGAAGCTACAACAATGGTTATAATCATTTCAGTATTTAACTCCATTGAGGTAGGTATTAATGCCTCCTCAAATAAGCAAAGAGAAACCGGAACCGCCTCTCCACTGTTTGGCAAAAGCAATCCATTTCTCAAAGCTTATAATACTAAGACTAACTTCACCTGGGCTCTTTAATTAAATTCTGGTATTTGATAACACATACTGACACTTCCAGTGCTAAAAGTTCCAGCAATATTAGGCACTAACATAGTATCAGAAGCAAAAACGAAAGAAAAGCTACGAAAAGTTACTCGTGACTTCAGTTAATGTTAAACACCAGGAAGTGAAAATCACCTTTCCCAGTCTTAACTGTTTGGATGCTATCGGATGTTAAAAAGATTGAATTCTTCAGAAAGCTACATTGTGATAGTTGGCACTGACTTGGAATTCAACTCCAGGACAGTTTACATTTCAATCCTAGAGCAGTAATAACTTAGTTTTTACTTCCTCCAACCAGGAGTAATGCTACTGCTCCTAGGCAGTATTGCTACATAAAGAAGGAGGAAAATACCAGAATTAGAATCATAGAATCATTTAGGTTAGAAAAGACCTTTAAGATCATCAATTCCACCCGTAAACTTAACACTGCCAATTATCTGCTTCACTTGAAACTGTAGAACAGGATCCAAAATAGCTTTCTCTGCCACACAGTTCAGCAATGAACAACCCCGTATAAAGAACCTGAATTAAAAATGCCATAAAACAAATGCAACTGATCTGTGCCAGGTACAAGAAGTCTTGCTGTAAGAAAAACTTTAATTGCAATAATGAATGATTAATGTTTATTTCCTGGAGCACTGCACTTCCAGATTATTGTAGATATGTTAACTCAGCTTTTTTAACACCCATGTTGAGGTCACTGATAAGAGTCAACTATTTTTGCAGGATTTGTCTCCAGTGCCATATTACTCCCCCCCCCCAAAAAAATTTTACCTGTATCCACACACTCATGATCTGTCAGTTTGAAGCAGAACTTGACACTGAGCTAAAACAGCCTGGCACTGCTCTATTAGGAGCAGCCAAATTTGGAATTGCTGATGCTCAAGTTTGTAATGCAGTGGAGGGACAGTTACCCTGTGATGACATTTGAGTCAGTCCATGTGTTTCAGCACCAGAGACTTTTGTATGATGCTTTGGGCACAAATAATTCAAGTTACAATAGCTCCAAAGATAATCTCACAGTACTAAACCAAAAAAATTTGCCTATAAGACACAGCCAGTGAGATAACTAACTAGTTACAACCAGAATTTGGAAAGCTCAGGCATTCAGTGACGATCATGCCAACAAATAAATTAAAAAAAAACAAAAAAACAAAAAACCAACACATTTCCTACAGAAACTAAGAATACAAACCTTGAGATCCCTGTGCATTAATCCTTTGCTATGCAGAAAGTCAACTGCTTCAGCTATCTGCAGAAATATCTGCAGACACTCTGTCCTTTCCCTCTCCTCTATCATGCATCTTCTGCTCATCCAGTCTTTAAGGTTCTCTTTCCGGCAGAGCTGCATCTGGATGTAAAGATACACCTTTGGAGAGGTGGGCTTGACTTTTTCTGCAGTATTTTTAGAAAGGTCCAGGCTTAAACTTGTTGGCCTTGGTGGAGAAACAGAGAGGGGACTTCCTGAAGCAGACTTCTTGTTATCAGATTCCTTTGTACTTTTTGCCTTATCCTCAGGAAGACTCTCATCATGCGAAACATCAACTTTATCCTCCTTACTAGAAGCATTTCCACAACCAGAATCCTCAAACACAATAGAAGAGGAGGTCCCTTCCCTCAGGTGTACAACAGGAACAGCTGAAGAGCAAATTTCCAAGGAGTGATCCAGCTCATTATTATTGATAGTACTGTCTTCTACATCACAGCCTGTAAGGACACTGTCCTGAAGGTTTAATAGCGGATCTTCTGACTGGTTGTCCCTGTTGTCCATGGCAGAAAATTCCAGAGGAGAAAACTGGCTTCCAGATGAATCGGACTGACCACAGGGTATTCCTACGGACCTTACCCTTTCCGATGAAGTGGCAATAACTTCAATGTGCTCCTTTGTAGAAAATGGCTCTGTTCTGATCTTAAATGATGGGACATCCACCGGACTGGGAGAACTGAGTGGCCAATCGGTGCTAGAAGAACAAAATCGAGAGATCAATACTACAGAACTTCATTCCACCAGAAATGCATTTTCAGAAGCCCAGGTTTTAACAACTGCTATCTCTGAGAACTGTGTCATACCATAATCGTAAATGACTACCCAAGTGTGGGAATCACTAATAACCAGGATTTAGAATCCATTTTTCTTAGCAAGGATGACGTTTTCTCACTGAGACAAGAGTGTTGATAAAAGGAAAAATTAGCAAGCTCTACTGCCTGGACTCCCAATGTGCAATCAGGCTCATCTTCAGCTTGAAAAAATTCAGTCCTTTAGAACATGCATTGCAATAACTATTTAAAGTGCCTTGGAAGAATTACAGCTGTGAAATGGTAATTTGATGCCTGAAATATAAAGGTCGCTAGATTCTAAAAATTGTTAGGCATGTTAAGATGTTATTATGAGACCACTAAATAGTCTTGTATTAGGCCTCATTCTTTAAATGCTAACATACACCCGCTTTTTCCTTTCTCTTAACATCCTCTAACTCCTTTATCTAATTTTCCATTTTTAATCTACTTCTACCAAGCTTTATAAATTGTCACTCTGATTATCCCTCACATATTTCTGCTGAAATAAATTCATTGAAGCATTGCAGTACTGAATCAGATCCATCTAAACCAAGACAACAAAGAGGAGGAAAGCAGTGGAAAGAAACAAAGAGGACAAAGATGCCAAAGTTTAAAATTGAATCACAGTAGCAATGCTCCAACCTTCCAACCACCCAAAGATTCAATTACAGAAGTTAAATTAAGAAGTACAAGATGTTTCCTAAGTGAAAGAAGGACCTTACACAACAGAGGACTCAATCAAAAGACACCACGCACAAGTGTGATACATTTTTACCTTGTTCAATTGAAAAGTTGACAGGCTAAGTTAATAACCATCTCTTTCCTACATAGCCTCTCCATCTTCCTGGATCATCTACCAGTTCTCCCATTCTGTGTTGATGTACAATCTCAAATTCAGTTGTTAAAAAAACCCACAAGTTACCTTTCATCTTTTAACCACTGTTCATCCATCTTTTCCTGCCATCTCTCAGGTGGAGCTTCCAGCCACGCGTTAAAATACCGAACAATACCTGGATGCTCAAGTTTAGCTAACGCTTTGACTTCCCGCATCACCTTTTCACGAGCCAGCTCCCTACAATTTGGGGTGAGGAGAACGACAGAGACATGGTCACATAAAGCAACAGCATAGTACAGAAATTTCTGCAAAGGAATTTAATCAAAGCTAGCCCAGTATAAACCAGGCCAGTAGTATTGCTCTTCACAACAAAAGACAGATATGTCTTAAATTCCCCAGAGTAACTCCTTTAGGTTAGAAGTGCGGAGGAGCAGTATGCGCTCATAACGGCTAAGTATTTAGTTATCCCTTTTCTAATAATTACAGGCAGCAAAACTGAGAAGAAAAGGTTCATCTTGCTCTCAACTGTTTACAAGGATAGAAAAAAGACCACTAACAGCAATATTCTACAGGGATGTAGAAGACACTGACACAAAAGAAGACAGACAGTAATACCTCAGTATTTCTTTTTTAATTGGCATAATGTAAGGAGACTGCATAAATACTATCTCCATTCTATGGACAGGAAAGCAGGTAGCCTGGTATGTTATTGAAGTAAATAATCTCTCTTCATATGACCATAACTGGATCAAATGAAGTCAGATGGTTTTCTTTAATGGGTTTGAATATGCTTGAAAAAGAAGAATTTAGGCTACCTTAAATGTCTGAACAAAACCTTTAATCTTAAATAGTCACGCTTATTTAACACATTCAAAAAAATAGTAATTCTAGATTTCATAGCTTTACCCCCTCCCTCTACTGGCCTGCCTGTTGCTGTTCTAACTTGAGATTTCCAGAAGCAGTGTCTCCCATCTCCCACTAAAAGGAACTGCTGCAAGCTCTGTGTAGGGTAATTCAGCAGCATGGCTTGACCACCTATGACTGAAAGAAAAGGTAGGGGTTGTGGGACCAGAAAATGAAACAAATGGACAAATGGAGTCAGAAAAGCTGGTGAAGGAGAGAGAAAAGAAAGAGAAGGTGGAGTAGGAGAGGTAAGGAGAGGAAGGAGAGAGGCAAATTAACAGCGCTACAAATAACTGGTCCTGTTATCAAACGCTCTATTCATCAAGGAAATCAAAGGAGTTCCCATGTAGCCACAGCATCCTCACAAGGGTCCTGCTATGCAAGTATTTTAGCCAAGCAGGTCACCCTTCTGCTGCGGTTACATATGCCAAATTCTTGATGCCAAAACTAAGTCAGCCCCCCCATTAAAAAGTATGTCATTCATCCTAATGTAGTATCTGGGAAATCAGTTCAGGAACAGATGGTTCAGTGTAGGATGGGATCCCACCATTCAGTTCATTACTCCTCCTATATTGCAACAAGCTCATTCATTACCTGTTAGGTAAACGGATACGTTTGATAGCATAGTTGCAGTCATCCACTTTATTTCTGGCTTCAAAAACTACTCCAAAACCTCCACGACCCAGACACTGAATTGGTTCAAAATCTGTCAGGTATCTGGGATGAAAAGGGTGTGAGGAAGGGACAGAAGAATGGAGGGAGGATAGAGGAGAAAAATACATTAGTATAAAGTCATTTAAAAAATAATTTATGACTAAGAGTAAAATATTTCTGTACAGGCAAAACACCATGAACAACTCAAAGCGTTTCTTATCTTTTTTCCCTGCTCACCCACTGAGGCAATCGGATGGTTACCTATTTGTGAAATGGACAGTTGCTGATTATGCACAGTGTGTATCACAACCCAGCAAGATCCATTATGCATGCACACAACAAACCAAGGAAGTCTTTCAGAATATCAGGTTGCATGCTTACTGGATCATGGACCTTGAATCTGTAACCCAAGTTTCTATACCCAAACTAGGTGGTGACAGCTAAGTATTTTCTAAGTCATGATTTGCCTTTAACCCCACCCCAAATAACTACTTTTGCAACTAGTCCCTCTAAGCATCCCTTCCGAAACATCACTGTTCTTAAATCTCACTATCTTATTCTTCCTCATTTTAAATACTCTAGTTCTTACTTTCAGGGAGTTACAAATGTACAGGAAATAGTCACATTTTCTTCAGAGTACCATGACACGGCCCTACACACCCTTCTGTCTTAACCAACTCCTTCGTAACAGCAACAAAGGTTTGTTCCAAATATAGTCTGCTTTTTCTGCAGAGTATATAAAACATCATCAGTTTCCATCTGCAATTGCCTTTCTCTGCTTTAATCCATAAACACAGAAACAGAGGGAGTAAAGACTGATTGAGACCTTCAAGAATCAATCTTCCATTTCACATATCAGCAGGAAATACGAGAGCAATGTTCCTGATCACAGGTATCCTGTAGACTCTCCAAGACTGCTTAGACTTATCGTTAACGGCAATCTCCCATCAGTAATGGGGTGACAGGGTTGTGTCAGTTGCCGATTATCCTGCGAAATCAGAGGACTAGGACAGGTAAGAACAAGTGAACACCTACTTTTTCCTCCAGATAGTATTAGTTGTCACACTGACTGAAAACCCTGTACATGTTGCGTTGAACTGAGCTCACCTTGACACGTATCCAGAGTTCTTGACATCACTCCAGCTGCTGTCTTTAACATCTCCACAAGTGGGCTCATATTTACTATCAGTCTGACACTGTGTTTCAGATTCCTTCCGCAGCTAACAAAGGTTACCAAAACAAGAACAAAAACCAAACAAACAAAAAAATTCAACTCCTTGAGTACTTGAGACCAGTTTGTAACCCTAGATATGACATTTGATAATTTCAGTGTAAATATCTCCAGAGACATCAGATAAGGTTGAAGCAGTCTAACCTGCTTGCTGAAGCAGTCAAGCAAATTGTACATGGCAGCTGACAGCCTTCACAGATAGATTAAAGAATAAATTTAGACTTTTGATTTTGTTATCTCATTAGTTATTAACTTATTAATACTACTCATTGCAGACTCAAAACCGAAAGAATAGGCTAGAATAACACCTTCTGTATTCAGAAAAAAAATACTTACTCTGCTGTAAGGATGGGGATGGAAGAGTTTGCGTACAATAAAAGTTGTGGCCACAATGCAAAATACAATGGTGCCAACAATTTCTTTCCACCAGTGAAGCAGAAGAACAGGATCTTTTTTGCGAATGTTTTTGTAATTTGTATCATCAAAAAATCTGACAGTGATCTGGGTGCTACGTTTATTTCTCTCTCTCTTGTAGTAGGGTAAGTAATAACCATTATCTGTGTATAAAAGACAGAAAGAGGGCATAGGTTTATTTGCAGGTAATTACAAAACAATTTTGTCTTCTCATTAATAGGTTTCCTCAAGAGACACATGGTATTTTTGTTTGCATGCTCCATGATTTTAAATGGCACATAAGCAAATTCAGTTAATCAAGGTTGTGGACTCCATGGCAACTAGGCCTCCCATCAAAGTTTACTACTTCAGAAGGCCTGACCACTGATAGTTTTAAACCAGAGTATCTTCCATATGGAAAACTCTATACCTCCAGGCTGAGTCTCTAGCACTGTTAGCAAATTCTGAAAAAAATAATTCACAAGCTTTTTCCGCTCGGACCAACTATCAGTGGCAATGGCAGTACACACAATACCTCTGCAGTAGGAATTTCTGGCACTCAGAAGTGCTTTGTGTGGCACTAATTGTACATACACCGCAATTTGGAAATCCTAGTTTGGGCAATAATTTCCCAGTTCATTAAATGTTAAAAAAATACACATATTTAAGATCAAACATATGGCCATTTATTGAATTTCACAGATAATAAATGGGCAAACCTGGCTATTTGAAACAGTTCAAAATTTGGAACTTCCACCTACCATATGGATACTGCAGGACTGAAAGTGCTCCATTACTGTACTCTTCGTGAGAATACTTGTCATTGCTGAGACACTTATCAAACTCATCAGACCCCACCAACACTGGAGTCCTGGAAGGAGAATCTAAGCATACAAATGACACAATTTTCTGAGCTGAATTGTTACAAAAATTCTGTTCTTTTATTAATTTAATGAGAACTCCAATTGCATAATCTTAGAAAACATCTCTTGGACCAGATCACAAGAACCGAAATTAATCCAAGGAAACATTAAGAAGGGTATTTTAAGGTAACAGTTACTTAACACCTCTCCCCCTTACCAAAATACTAGTTTTGGACAAGTCAATTCACTCATATTCACATCGCTGCAAAAAACTACTTCTTTTTGTTGAAAAATTTGATTTAGAAGACCCAACACTTCATTACTAAAAAAGACCCTGTCAAATCCATACTAAAAGAAAGCAGACATTAAACATTTAATTAGAAAAAAATTAAACAATTAATAAAGCACAGAGATAGTTCCTGAACTGGTTTACAGCTGGAAACATTAGACTAGTTTGAAACATATTGGACATCAGAAAGATGTCCTGTCTTTTCAGAGCTAAGACAGTATATGAAACTCTGAATTGTTACTTACGGATTAAAGGTTTCCATTTGACTTTGGGGAGAGGAATAATTGCATTATCGTTCCTGGATTCCAGAGCCTTTGGGTTGGTTGGGAATTTCTCAGAAATTCTGACTGATGACTGAAGATACAACTGGCCCCTGTACATACCTAAGTAATAAACCAGAGAGCATATTAGTCTTAAGATCTCATTCTCTTCACTCCTGAATAAAATTGCCCAGTTAAAATACATGGTTAAAAACATTTCTGAAAACGTTTCTTTATATTCTGAGAATCTGCGATACTGATTCTGATTGCTAGGCTGGACGAATTCCAGTAATATGTTCCCTCTGTTCTAGAAAAGCAAGAGACCAGGACATCTCGTTTTCACTGTTGGAGAGCTGGTGCTACAGAAAAATGCCGGCAGTTTTTAAGAGCTATAAAGAGCTTGGGCTTTGCATAGGTAAGACTTCTTTCAAACTTCCTACCCTTGTTAATGCTGGTACAGACTACTCTTCAACAGCCATTACCAGGAAGGCTGGAACAACCTGGCTTCTTCCTAGTGTTATACTTTATCTGTGTAACCACTAACAGGAAAGCTACAAGGTGTAAAGACTTATAGAAAAAGGCTAAGGCAAACAAAGTCTTAGAAAACCAAAGCACGTTTACCTCCCAGAGACAGCTGAGAGGAAGAAGGACCTGGAACCACTCTATTTCAAATTGTCACAAACCACATCAAATGAATTCTGACAGCTAGATGAAAACTTAGCCACATAAAATCTTAACTGAAATTTTTTCATGGTAAGTTACCATAATCAGTGTAGAGGAAAAAATGAATGCAACAAATTAGCGTGCTGGAGGGAGATCCTGCTTATTGCTTACAGAGCAGTAAGACTGCCTTATTAACTATAAACCTATCTTTAAAAGTTTCAAGACTTTCAATCATCTCCAATGTACTGAAACTACAAAGCAGTGAATGTTTCAGAATCAATCAAAATGGGAAAGATTTATGGGTTTGAAATGTTTTGGTTTTGAAAAATTAAAAAAGGAAAAAAAAAAAATCAATCTTTTAACTATCACTGTTTAGGCTAAACTGTCATAGATACTAAATTCTGCCATAGCCAAAGGTATGCTGTACCTTCTGTAACTGTCAGAATTTCCAAGATGGGTACACAGAACTCTAACTGTGAATGACAACAGCAAAGATGACCAGAGCAGGCTAGGAAGAGATGAGAACATATCTCTACCTTTTGAAGTCTTTAAATCAAGTCAAGGTGCCTTTTTTAGGATATATGTTATTGAAGCCTCAATTTTGGGGCTTTATAAAGCAATGTGGGTTGAATTTAACAGCTTTCATTATGCAGAATATCAGACTGGACATGTTACAGCAACTCTTAACAGTAATCTACCAGTACAGAAAGATCTGCTTTATTACAACCTCAACAGAGAAAAGAATAACATTTACTACAGAAAATGCTGCAGTCAGTGTCTCACCCAAATAGACACTGGATTCTGTGGCCCCTCTGGCAGCTTCCACAAGATCTTCCTCATCTTCCAATACTTCATTGTTCGCAGTGTAACTTGTGTCATCAAATAGACTGATTGGAATTACTTTGCCATCCTTAACCAGCCATGCAGAAGCAATTGGAGTGCAAAACTGAAGAAGAGAGAGGTAACTGGAAAATTAATGTTGTATTAACTAGATATTATGTAAGAATAATGCTAAACAATGTGCTTAAATTCCTTGGGTTTAGTTTTTGTAACAGATGTAGCAGCTCAAAGTCAGAACTTCAGTTAAAAAAAGTTACAAGCAGATGTGTGCTTCTTTACAAAGACAGCACCTGAAACCCAAGATGAAAGATCTCATCTATGATGCTGCAAAACTTCTACTTTTGTAACATTTAATATTCTGTCTTTTCCCCTACCTGGTATTCCCATTCCAGATGTCCTCCTTGTTTGTTAAAAGCCATCACCTTCCAGTCAGCTACTGAGACCTTTATCACTGTATCTTTCATCATGGCTTCCTGCTCATCCACATCCGAAATAATTTTTGTTTCTTCCTTGTTCATATTTGATTTAAAATTGCTCTCAATATATCCTGCTCTAGTTTCAATATCTGGGACATAGCGCAGCTCAAAGTGACCAACGCTGAAATTCCACCTTAAAGAAAAAGAGAAAAACTTTATAGAAACAACTTACATATTCCAAGGAAGTCCCAAATCCCTTGTCCAGAAGATTCTTAAACTGAATTACCTATATTTGGCCCACATTTTCACATTAAACTCAGACTGTCAGATGAACACAGCTGTACCAGGAGGGGGAGTGCTACACCAGAACACAAACCAAACAAGCTGAGAAATCTTACCCAACATGATGATGGGCGAGTTGAGAAAACAACTGGTGAAGTAGGGCCAATGGCATTAGAGGTTTAGTATATGGAAAGGATAATTAAAATCATCAAGTAGTACAGCTGGGTCTGTTTAGTAGGAAAACTTTATTTAGCTGATGAAAGCAACAAGTATAAAGCATTTAGGAAGCAGCTTTCTACACAAGACATGTATCTCTTCATTAATAAAGCGGATTTAATTTGAAACGTAAGGTTTTTCAAGCTGAGGGGGGGACAATGCCTTTTTTTTTTTTTTTGCCTTTTTTTTAATCCCCCACACAACCTAACACAGGATTTCTTTGACTGGTACTTCATGAAACCAGGACTGCTCATGTCCCATAGGTTAACACCGAAAAAAGACAACTGAGTAAGTAACACAGAGTTGTCTTGCAGAGCCAAAAGCTCTTTAATTTTTGTAAACCAACAAATTAGGGCAGAAACTGAAAATCATTTTCAGAAAGAGAAAGAATAATTATTTTCCTTTTTCCATGATATAGACCAACGCTGTAGAGAAGATACAGATGGGAAAGGATTGCAAGTTTGTGTCTCCAACAGCAAGAAGGGGGAAAACATTTCCTGAGCAGTATGTTTGGTACCCAAAGTTTCTTAGGGCCAGTCTGGCAACCACCAGGAGCCCAAACTGTCTCCTTAAAGAATTTACAACCTTATGGTAAAAGTTTGGCATATTTTATATACTCAGTTGATCTATTAAAAATTTTTCTTTCTCTGGATTAAAAACCCAGATCTATCCTATAAACTCCACAGCAGCCATACCATGTCACCAGGAAAGCACCTCTGTTTCTGACTACAAAGACAGGAAGATTCTGGTGCTCAAGATGCCATACTATATTTTTGAAAGAGATGTATGAAGGAAAAAGTATGTTTTTATAACATACCTCTCCCTGCCAGTATCAGTCTCCAAGAACTGCGGAACCCAAGATTTCTCTTTTCAGACATCTGATCTGCTAATCTATTGGAGTTCTAATTAGGTTCTCTCTGATAGACTACGGATGCACAACCTGTCAAATCCTGCTGCAAACAGAAGAGGGAGCAGGCGAACAGGGAATAACTAGTTCTCCACTAAATTGTTGGGCAGCTATTGTATCTATGTATGGCAACCAGCCTTTTAGACTTGTATTTTATGAAGTGGGAGTTGTTTGGGGTTTTTTTTAGTAGAATACATGTCTGTGTTTTTATAGAAATCTTGATGTATTAAAACTTCAATGTGACAGCATTAGGAAAGTCACAGACTGAACCAGTTTCTACAGCTTGTAAAGAACAGACCACCTACGTTATGAAATGAACAAAGTAGATTTAAGAATGGGACTTTTTTAAAAGTAAGACTGACGACGTTTTAAAATATCAACTTAAAATGAAAGCTAAAGACATCAAGTATGAAAAAAACAGCGACAGTTACCGTGAGTAGGTAAAGAACTTAAAAGTGAATCAGTAGGTCATAAGAAGACTTTTAAACTGTCTCCTTTTGTACAAAAATCAACAGTTGGAACAAATATTAGTGACATTTGCCTTGTGCAGTAAAGCAGTGACAAACTCTTTTGACATATGCAAGGACAAGGAAAACAATTTTCATTTGATTTAGAGGGAATACATATGTGCACATCTTTTCTGTCTGATCATCTATAAAACTGAAGTTCAAGACATTTTTCAAAAGCAATGAAGAGCAAAGGGGTTAGATCCTAGCCAACAGCCTGGTGCATTCCTTTAGTTAACAATCTAAACTCCCTTGTGCAATTCCTACACTAATGAGAGTAAAAAGAAGGTAAAACCCTTAAAACATTACGTATTAAGAACTTATCTCTATTGGATTGTTTCTGAACAATTCTTATGCTTACTTTTCATTGCCACTGCGTGGTCCAACAGCACGGACTGTTTTCTGGGTTCGGTGTAATAGGAGTGTCTCTTCCTGCTCTGTTTCATCGTCATCCCACCGGCGACAGCCCATAGCTGAGCAGATGTACTTCACCTAAGGGATAAGGCAAGAGACTTGCACATGCTTTGAAGTTCTGAAGAACTTCAAGACAAATAAATGTAATCAACAGCAGTATTCAAAGCTAACAATCCTTACAACATATTTTTGGCTCACAGGCTATTTGGAGCTCCGTGATTTTAGATGCTCAACTTGAGGGATGTTGAAAAGCCTGGTTTAAGAGATAAGGACTTTTCAGAACTCAAATTTTCAAAAGATTCTAGTAAGTCTACAGTTTGGGCTATTTTGACTACCTTTTGACTGTATTTTGCACGTATGCCTACTTCTAACAGAAAGAAATCTTAACTCTCTCTTTTCCCACCATTTCTATGGACATCAAGAGAACATTCCTACAAGACCCACAGTATAATTCTGCTTTCGTGCCACATTTGTCTCAGCATAACTCTATTAGCTTCAAATGAAGTACTATCGATTTATATAAAATAGTTCAGAGCCTTACACCTTTGCCTTGCCAGCTATTAAATGGGAAAGAAGACCTTATTTAACTCTCACAGTGACACAGACTTTGCAAGAGTCCCGATCTTGAACAGAATTTGTATTATATGGGCAACTGTATTTTGAAAAGGAAGTTGAACACACTTTCAGAAAGTCTGAATCAACATCATACTGCCAAAGACAACAGACTGCCCAAACTCTTAACGAGGAAGAGTAAGGAACTATTTCCTGTATGAAGCACCTTTGCTACTGTGAGCATAAGCCAGGAATCAAAGCAGAAACTGAAATTTCCACTTCTTGAACACTGGGGGAGGAGCAGTCTGTTGGTGCATAGTGCCCTCTGCTATCAATGAGGAAATCAAAATGATTTCATTAACTTTTGTTTTGGATCTATGCTCTTTATCACTACTGACTACTCTACACCATGCCATAGAAGTGTTTTACATTAAAATGTATGGTAAAAATGAAAAACCTGATTTTGTGGAAAACAAACATTGGAAGTTTAATAGTTCTGAAACTTTTTAACTTGTTTTGAAATGCACCAACATTTCTGATTTAGCAGATGTCTGTTCTTCACTACACAAAGTTTCTACAAGCATTTTAATGACATCTGACACTAATGAGGGGGAGAGAGATGTCAGTTCTAGGACTCTGAATAATGCAATTCCTGTGCTTTTTCTAGCCTTTTTTCCTTCCGTGTTTTTTCAAAATACACAACTTTTAACCAATGGATTTTGGAAGAAAAATACGTTCTGAACTAGTCAGATAGCAAGTAGTTTTCAACTTAAGTTTTTGGAGATAGTAAACTCACTGAAAACAACTACAAGTCTTAAACTTTTGCTTATGTTGAATGTTTTTCTTGTTTTCAACCAGCTATCTCTCATTAGTTCTGAAAAATCTGAAATTAGTTGTGAAACAAGTGTGTCACTTAAAGCCTTCTTTGATATGCAGTTAAGCTGAACAGCAAAGATCAAGCAGAGCTATATGATCAAGCTGAACTCCTCTCCCAGCTCAGTAGAGAAAGGGGTCATCCCTCTTTTTTCCCCTCACTCACCTCTGGTCACAACCACCCCGTCCCTTCCCTTGTGCTAGCTCTGGCACTCCCCAACCCCTTGCTGAGCTGGCTACAGCTAACCCAGCACAAAACTAACCCAATAAAAAGCGAACAGTTTTCTGTTGGGTTAGCAAGTTGAATCAGCTTAGCAAAGTGGGAGACAAGTGTTAAAGCCAGCACAGGGGATACAGCAGGAGCTCACAGGCAGGAGAAGATTGCAGTGGGGGCTCAGCCATACCATCTAACTGCACCAGCTGTTAGCCTTACTCCAGCCCACTGCAGCTGTTGCCCAGAAAACTCAGATTCTGCTCTTTTGTGCCACGCAGTTGTACACTTAAGTTGTACTGCAGTTTCAATCTCAAGAGCAACCTATTTGCAAGGCAGTGCTTGAAACACACACCCAGAAGGCAACTTTTCAGGCTCTTACCTTCCCTGAGTATGAGCTCAGCCCATAGGTCGTCAAAGACTTTCCCCCAACTAAGACAACATCCTCGCCAAATTTGTAGGATGACTCGAGAAGAGATTCAACTGTGAAAGGAACCGCTTCCATGCTCTCTCGATCCCGATCCCACTGGAAAAGGTCCCCATCCAAGGAAGGGATTATCATCTTATTTCCAAATACCTAAAATAATTGAATTGAAGGTTAGCTACCATTTAACCACAATTTTATCAAAACACACAGATCACAAATGGAAACAGAAATGCTGTATAAACAAGTACAGTGCATTATATTCCAGTATCCTATTTTATGGTTTTGTATCCCAGAGTCTTATTTTTCAAAGTTATACTGAAGACAGAAAACTTTCAGGCATTCAAATCAAATCCATATTTCAGTATTCTTAACTAAAAAACAGTTCAGCATGTGACACTTCTTCCACTTTAAGCAAAATATTTTATAGCTCAATCAGTTGATAGATTAGTATTAATCCAAACTGTAGAAAATATAATACTGGGAGAAGCATTCTTGAAGAGACAGTCACTGGTTAAAGTGCAAGTTTTGCAGATTATTTGTGTAGTTTCAAGACACTGGCATTGTAGGTAAAGTTCTACTTCATTGTGGTTTTTTTTCTGGAGCTAGTTTGCTGCTAAACACAGAATCAATCGCTCTCTCTAGATCAGAAGACTGAATTCGGTTTTAAAAGAAAAGCTGAGGCTCTTTTGCAATTAGTGACTACCCCAGAACATCTACTGTCCTGTAAAGCAGAGAGCGCAATTATCACTGAGATCAGAGCTCACATTTCACCTTTGCCTTCCCAGACAGTTAAACCTAACTTCTCCTCCCCAGAATTTCTTATGTTTTAGTATACCATTCCTTTAAAATTTGCCTGGCTTTTTGTTTAAACACACAAGTAAAAAAAAAAATAATCTTCACCAGGATACGGCATTTCATCCATTAACACTGAGATTTTCAAGCAGATCCTAGTTCGGAAGTATGAGTCATTGTCAATGAGTACTAAGGGACTTATTAAGAAACTCATTATCAGCATGATAGACCATAACTAATACTGTGGAGCCACAGTGGCTGTGCCCGTCAAGAACAGTGAGAAACCGTAGTCCACATAATCTTAGCTTTTGAGGATATGGATTAACATGGAAGATTTTAATGCTTTTTCAGAACCTCTGTCCATTTGGGCAGTATCCTACAACATAATTACATTAAATTCAGACACTTTACACATTAGGATTTAAAGACTACTTCTGGTACATGTATATTAGTCACTTCAAACAAAGTATTCCTGCTCAGACTCCAAGGCACAGATGTGTATTACGAAGCCACAAAAAAGATCCAGAAGGTTTCTGGTTATTATTTCTGGAACCACTGTGAGGATCTGAAACCACTTTTCTTTCATGATCAAAATTCTCTATAACATGAGACTTTTTATTCTTACTAATTGGGTCACAGACAAGGAAACAGCATTAAGCAAAGCTGGGATTCACCTAAACAGGAAGGGAAAGACAGATCTTGTAAATGCGTGCATGTCATGACTGTTTGACACATCTCATTCAAAGAGAAAATTCAGGTGCGTTGCCCAACAATGCTGGTGACTTATTTGAGATCCCTAAAGGATCCAACACTGATGCTTTCTGGCTTTGAAAAGCCTCATGATGACTGACAATTAAAATAAAAACTCCTCTCAGGAGCACAATGTGTAATTGAAGTGATGATAAAAGTAAACCGTCGAGAGTAGCTGTGAAGTGCTTTACAAAGCAAAATGAGGTATGTTCTTTCCCTCCCAGATATTCACCTTATGGCAAAACAGGCGAAACATCGTGGAAGAAACATTGCATGAGATCTGTGATGCACAAGAAATGTTGCATTATGGCCTACCGTTGGGCAGGAAAAATACACACACACACAGGTCTATACATATGCTTACAAAAATAAACTAACAAAAAAGCAAAAAATTTTGCAGGGAGGGGTCATTTGTAGAAATCACCTGATCAGTGGAAAAATAAAGCAAATAAGGTTTACATAAACATGCATATTTAAGAGCAGCCTTGTGATCTTGAGAAACAAAGGCATGCAGATTTTGGAAAACACCTTTTTAAAAACAAAAGATGCCAGTGCCAAAGTTGCAGCTGTAACCATGTTAGAGTATCTTGTTAAAACATTCAGCACAGAAAAGTAATATCGTAAAATGTTTTTGTAATATATAATTTCAGAAATGCATAATAGTTTTGATGACAACTTTTAGACTGTGCAGCTGTTACTTTGCATTAATAAATCTTCTCTAAGGTTTCTTCCTGCACGTGGTCCAGATACCTGTGAGTAGTTTGGAGGCCCACGCTCTCCTCCAGCAATATGAGATATTCCATACATAAATAAGAATGAACAGCAAAGGTTCTTTTTACAAGCAGTTTTCCAAATACACAAAAGCCAAACCAGCTCCTGTACTACTGTTTCAGCACACAGAGCCCAAGCCCGGCAAACCTAGCCATCAACAGAATTCAAGTCGGATCCTGAAGAAATTCTACTGGCCATCAGTCAGCTGAATTCATGTAGCGTGATCAAACTAGATGTGTGCCACTGGTAGCTAGACAGCCACTTGCAAGTTCAGACTTTCAGATACGCTTGCTGGAATCCACAACCGCAATGGCTTTGTAACACAGCATGCTCCAAGGGCTGCAGACCACCCCATCAGTTTGTGAACAGAGGAGGCAGCGGTGCAAACTGCCCAGGAATCACTGCCGAGCAAGGAAGACTCTCGGTGGGTAACTCTGCAAGCTCTGGGGACAGCATGACACACATCACCTCAAGTGCTTCCCTTGTCCTGAAGCTCTTGCTCCAGGGCCTGAGGAGGAAATTTTCCACTAGCAAACAACAGGCAAAACGTTGGCCATTTCTGGGAACCACACGCCCAAATTCCCAACACGCATGAAGCTCACTCAGCAACACGCACTTGTATACTCCCAAGATATGGGTCAAATCAGGTCATGGCTTGTGTGCCTTCAAAAATTCCCTGACAGTGGGGCACTGTCTGCTCATCTGTTAAAACCTCGGTCCCCATAAGCTGCAGAGGACAGACGAGACTGTTTCGGTCATCTCTGCTGATCAGCTGCCCGTGCTCCCAACCTTGAGGGTGCCTACAGGAACAGCACGACCTGCCTGACATTGGGAAAGAAAGGCTGAGAAAAGACACAACTGCTGCTGGTGAACACATCAGGAAAGGGAGCGCAGGCAGCAGAAAGAGCTATTGCATTGAGGACAATGCCAGAGTACGAGCAGATGGGGTTAAACTGACCGTTAAGTAAGTGCAAGCCAGACATATAGGCTACTCATCATCACAAACGTGGTATTTCACAACAGAAACTGAGAACAGAGGGGGAAAAAAAAAAATCACCTTCTTTTAAGATGAATCTATCTATAAATGGGATTACATGATATAGTGCTGACAAGGGACTGCACCTGATTACCACAAAGGTCGTCTTTTACTAAAATAGCTTTGTTTGAAGAATGGGGCAGGTATGCAAATGTGCATACTTGCAGGTGCCCACATACACATGTAACAAAAGGCATTTGTGTCCACTTGCGCTGACATCTTTTAAAAGAGCAGTTTAGCCAGAGGCTTTAGAAGGACATTAATAATAACAACTCCTATACGAGTTATGCAGCTCATTCTCTAGTACATCAGTAGCAGCAAAGGGACTTTCCTTGAAAGTACTAGCAACGAGCATCGGCATGCAGCTCAGGTAAAGGAATGACATCACCCTGTATCTCAAAAGCATTACCTCATCTCCTAATCCAAGGAGTGAGTCACCCAGGCAGTCAGCTGCAAATCTCTTGGCACAGAAAATGTAGGTTACCACGATGCACTTACACATTCCTCTGATCTGTCAATGTAAATAGCTATTTGTTCAGCTTCACTGGTCAGCAATATGGCACATAATTGTTAAGTGGCTTGTCTTTCAGAAGTAACACTTAAAAAACCCCCCCACATTAACTATCGAGCCCTAAATGAGACGCTGCTCTTTTGCTCATTAAGAGTTTGAAGCTGAAGTTCTCCATTGGTTCGGCGCAGGGTGCCGCAGCCCTATCAGCAGCGCTGGCTGCTCAATCTCCAGGCCGACGGGTGAGGTAATGCAGTTTCTAAAAAGCCTTCACAAAAAAGCAAAAAAGCATAACGATCCGAAATGGCATACGCTACCAGGGAATTTGCTGTCTAGACTCTTTACTGGAAAGGAGGGCACTGCACACGAGGTTCCACGGCAGGTTGATCGGTGCAGGAAGAAAGCTGCTGATTTGTAGCAGTGGAGGAAAGAAAAAAAGAAAGAAAATATCGTGTAAACAGAGATCAAAACAAGCTGAAGTACTAAAGCTTCCATGAGCTGTTTAACAGTAAGTGTGACATTCATTTCCCATGCCTAACACTTTATCACAAGAAGCAAAAATCAAGCCTGCTCACATGCAGGCACATCTGAGACAAGTCTGGTGCCAAAATGGTCAATATTATCATTTACAGATGGGCTGAACTTTCCAATAACTCTGAGGAAATAACTGAGCACAGGTAAAATCTTTTCCTTAGAACAGGAAATGTTATGTCTTTCTGTTTTTCTAACACTTCAGTTTGTGCTTTTCAAACCTTACTCTTACCATAAACTGCAAGAGCTTAATTCCAGTTACTAATTAACTGAGACTAACCTATATAATCTTAAACGTTACTGGTAACAATTTTTTTTCCTCTACAGTTATCTCTACAATAGGATCACTGTAACAAAAAGGATCAAAGCCAACATCAGGCATGTTCTTAAGAAAGCTACTTCTCAGCAAGAACGATGTCTTTTAAGCCCCTCTAAAATTAATCTAGGTAACGTATTAAAAGCCACATGCAGCAGCTTTACTCTAAAGGGTAGAAACAAGAGTCTACACAAACAAATCTGGGAAAGAGAAAGCAATCATTATATGTTCCACTTTTTTTTTTTTAATTCACAGGTGTACAGTAATACAGGTATCCATACTACAAATGTTTACAGTATTTTCAGGAGAGATATATATCTCTCTAAACACACACACACACACTGGGCAAGGTCTTGAGATGTCCCTAGTTCAGGCTGATCTGGAACTGATTTATTGTCTGCTCTTTTTTGGTATGCATGCAGGGAGGTATCACTGGTTTATGACTT